TCAAGTAGACTTTCCTCGGTTAGTGGCTGCTTTCTTCTTGAAATGCTGCTCAGCTTGTATGGCAAAGTGTAGTAGATCCTCCATGTGCTCATAGCTCTGCCACTATACTTTTCTCGCAATTCTATCTTGGAGGCCATCAACAAATTGGGCCATCAATGTCTCCTCCGAGTCTTGAAGCTCCAATCGGTTTCTGATGGTCTCAAACTCCTCGTAGTAATCTTCTACAGGCCTGTTTCCCTGAGACAACTTCCGAAAAAGTTTCTGTAAGTCTCTCAAGTAATAAGCTAGCACATACCTCTTCCTTAGGTGAAACGTCATGTCCTCCCAAGTGGTTATCTGGCCACGTCTTAACCTCCGTCTTTCAGAGACTTCTCGGTCCCACCAAGTGAGAGCATGGTCGGTCAGTTGTGCGACGGCTAGAGACACCTTCTTGGCTTCAGAATATTGGTAGTAATCAAAGATATGGTCCATCCTTTTTTCCCAATCCAGGTAAGCCTCGGGGTTAACCTTTCCAGCAAAGGTAGGTGGTGTAAGTTTAAGATCTTTGCCACTATATCTCTCGTCTTCTCTCTCTCTATCTCTCGGCTCCTTCCTCTTCCACGGCGTTGATATTGGTCTTGACCGTGATTGTCTCGCCTGCCACGCTGGGGATTTAGGTCAGGTGGTAGGTCATCTTCGAGATTTGGCATATCCTCATCGGTCTCTTCTTCCATGTTGTCATGTTGTTGCCTTGGTTGGTTCCCATTATTATTGGGTTGGGCCGGTGGTGGCAATCGTTGCTCCATTAGATTGAGACGGTCACTGAGACTCCTCATACCGTCAAGTAACTGCTGCATGGTTGATGCCTGCGCTCAAGAACAAGCAAAAATCAAGTGCAAAAGGGAAATAAAGAAAAATGCGACTAAGTATTCCTTTTTTTTTGATGATGCTAAATAAAACGACAGAGCAAAGAAATAAAATGTGAATGCTTTCCTTTTTTTTATACGTGATTAAGAAGACTTTCCTTTTCTGGCTAACTAGGGCTTTTGACAGATTCCGGGTTTAACAACGAGCCGCAACTAATCAACTCTATGAATGATGCTAAGGGGAATGATCCTAGAGGTATAGATGAATGCTCAAGATGATATGCTATGTATGCAACCGAATAGAACTCTTTTGTTTTTTTTTTTTGAATAAGTGTGCAACAAGAAAACAAAGATGCAAAAGAAGTTTAACCGAAAGGTATGAAAAGATAAAACCTGGTTTCGGAACCTTTTGGCTCTGGTACCAGATGATATAGGCACGGACCTATTGTTGGGGATGGATCCTTGTTGCTGGTTGTGTAACTCTCTCAACAAGAATGAGGAATGGATTTGATATGAAAAAGGGGATGGAACTCGATCAGTTGGTTGTGTAACTCTCTCTGATGGAGTCAAGGGATAAAACGATGATGATGCACACGGTGGAACGAGGGTCGCCACAAAGCTCTATGGACTGAACTTTGATAAGACCGGCGAGAGATGGATCAAACACCAACTCTCAAGAAGAGGATCAAATACCAACTCTTAAGCGAATTTAGAGAATTCAAAGACAAGACAAAAACTTGAAGAACTGTGTTATTTTATTCATAGTAGGGTAAAATTACACGGCTGCTTATAAGGGACTTTATAAGAGAGTCCAATGCAGCTTTGCCCTTCTTGGGGACTTGAAGCAAATTACATAAAAAGGACACAACTTCTGGGACTTTAAGAAACAAGTACAGACTCATGCAATAACTAAAAGATATTAAGAAATACTTTAAAGCTTAAAACTATGAATAGAACCTGTAAAACAAACCAAAGACAGAAAAACAATATTAGGCAAGCAAATAAACGTATTCATTTTCTTACCTTGGTGGGTTGGACGGCTGAGATGATCTTAAGTTGGCGTGATGCTGATGCTGAACAAGGATACTTCTTTGTTGGGTCAGAGAAGTGAAAATTCAGTTGTTGGGCCGTCTTGTATAAGATAAGCTTCTTCTTTATTAGGCTCCTCCAGGTTTCTTTCTTGGACCGTGACCTTAAAGCTTACAAAGAGTCTTCTTGCTCGTGGATACTAAATAAGGCTTCAATAGCTTAATTAAACTCCTCTCTCAAGATTCTAGTTCCGGATCTTGTTCTTGGTCCTTGTCTCAAGACTGGTATAGGTAGAGCTTGTGGTTCTATGCCCTCATCATCAATTTGAGATGATGAAAACCACCAATTTTTTAGAGACCTTCTTACAAATGTAAATCTTCACCATAGGAAAAAATAATCTGATTCCAATAATTTCATAGAATATCTGGAAAGTAATCCACATCACCAATCTGATCGGTCATACAAAAAAAAAACCTTTGCTTGCTTGTTCAAGCCTTTGAAGAAGAGAAGTTATAAACTGCCGTACACCTCTAGCCCACCGCCTTCGTCTTCGTATATATTGTTCCTGCTAGATATTTCTTATATTAACCAGGCCTACCTGTAGGGTGCACAAGCCCAAAGTATTCCCGATAATTCTTTCAGAATCTATGTACAAGCAATGTGTTACCTCCCCAACATCAAGAAAAAGAGAGAAGCGTCAAGTTTTTCAGGATATAATTGTCCTCTCTCCTTCATTTCTTCAACTGCTTAAACGTTTTTTATTGTGACTGCACACAAAACCAACTTCACTATTTAATATTCGGACCAAGCTATCGACTGTGTCCAACTTGGTTTCATTATTCTTGATGACAAACGGAAATTCCACAATTATGCTTAAAAGTTCACCAAGTAAGGATCCATCATTCTCGACTTGGAATGACCAAAAGAAATATCACGTATAAGCACACCAAATAACAATATTTCAGGTTGAATTTTTAATTTCACAAAAAAATAGAAATTATTATCTGAAACATAAGCATGATCATAAATCAAACCTGTTAATATCGAGTCTGTTCTTGTAGTACCATAGCTTACTTGTGTTAGAATTCACCACCGATTTTTACAAAATGTGATGAAGATTTACTAACATAACAAAAAGAGAAACATAGTATTATTATTCATTACTGGATTCAATTTTTGTATCCTTTTTTTTTGAAACGTGCCATTATTAATTAACTTATATCCCTTACCATGCATGTCCTGAAATATTATAACTGGTTCTTCATAAAATATATTTGATCCATCCTCACCGAGTGAACTAAAACAACAACTAAGACAACAATAATAACAACAATTAAAGCAGGAAGCCAAATGAGTCGATCTCGTAACGAATAAAATCAGAAGCAGATACGATCAACGAAAACAACTAACTAAGAAAACCTCACCAATTCGAAAATTGTAAGAACTGTAGACGGCAAAGAAAAAGTAGACTCTGAATGACCTAACTACGAAAATAAACGAAGACTTATTTATAATCTTCAAATAAGTAGGGTTTTGAGTAATTTTTTTTTTCTAACAAAAAGGAGACTGACTTCAGAAAAAAAAAACAAAGACGGGTTTATAAAATTGTAAAATCGGTATTATACAACCGATACCGATACCAAGTAATTGATAATATGTGATTATTTGGTAAACTTAATTTATACCAAAAACTTAATTTATATTAATTAAAAGGGTATTGAAGTTTTTTAGTTAAAGACAAAAAAATAATTAGACACTCTAAAATTGGAGGAGAGAGCTTATAACTAAAAATTTACTTCGCCTATAATATATAAAGAACTTATCAAAGTAACCCTAAAAAACTTAAAGTTGACAAATAGAGCTCTTTCATTTATTTTTTGGCTCAAAAACCAAAAAGGTTTTTACAACGGTTTATCCACCGCAACTTGAAACATAATCCAATTTGGGGCAACAGAATACAACTTAAGAATACTTAGAGCATGTTTATCGGTAACTTTTAATGAGTCTCTTAACAATTTTAGGCCCAAAAAATAAATAGAAATAGGTTAATACGCGAGAAACGAAATCAGAGCTTCAAGTGTCGTTCAATAGATTGAAGGCTTTTGCTCACGAGGCAATTAACAAGCGTGACAGAATCAATAATCAGTAATTAAGCTAGGGGAGCAGATGGATCAACGGGATTATGAGATAACTATTGAGGTTTCTCAGTTGGAATCAAAAATCAGTAATTTGCGGTTAGAGGTTGCAGATAAGGCTTCAATTGTTGATGATTTGGAGAGAGATGTGAGTGAGAAAGACAAAAGGATTGCTAAACTCGAGAAAGATAATTTACAGAAAGCAAGTGTATTGGAAGGTGAAGTTGTGGAGCTGAAACAGTTGGTAGATGAATATGATGGAAAGTTAAAAACTATGGAACTGAAGATGGTAGCTCAGCGTCCTGAAACTACCAAATTCACTCCTGCTACAGGAGGATCAAAGACACTTTTTGTTGCCAATCTCTCATTCCAAATTGAAAGATCAGATGTTAGGTTTGCTATGTCACTTTATATCCTCCATTTGCAGTGAAAATTTCTTCCAAGAGGCTGGCGAAGTTGTTGATGTTAGGTTTGCTATGTAAAAAGAGGATTCCCGTCAAGCAGCTTTTGATGTCCTATGTTTGATTAATTGTCATTAACCATGCGTTTTATTGGGTTATTTTGCAGGAAAGTGAGGATCAACTTCTGCTCATTGTAGTTGCTCTAATTTCTTTGTGTATCATGCTATGAATTTAAATTGTGTATATTGTTTGTCTTTCAGCATGTTGAATTTGCTAGTGCTGACCAGCTTTACGAGGTTGTGAGGATAGTTGACGTAAATAGTTCAGAACAGTCAGATTTGTCTGAGTCGTTCTTTACGCCTCAAGAGACAGAGATGGAGGAGAACATTTGGGCTTCTTTAGCTGGTATGAGCTGAATAATCTGAATGAAACTGTGAGTCTATTAGTTAAAGAGAAGGAACATATTGGTATGTTGTAACATTGTTATTTTCAAATAAGAAACTTCTTTTATATGTTTCTCCAATGTACCTCTAAATAAACCAAAATTTTTTAATGAGTCTCTTAACTTAATAATATTACTTTAATAATCTTTAAGAAACTTTCATGGGTCTCTTTAATAAACATGGTCTTATACTACTAGAGATTGATTTCTTCGCTATTCTGTTGGCCGCTTCATTACCCTCTCTATGATAGAACACAACTTTCACCTCTGGTATTTGGGTAAGCATGGACCTAATGTCTTGGATGATTGGGGCCAGTTGAGAGAAAGTTGTTTCTTGATTCACAGACTTTGCCAAGTTTAAAGAGTCAGTCTCTAAAATCAATTTCTGGTATCCAAGACTAACCATCATCCTTAGAGCCCAACAAAGAGCCTCAGCTTCCGCTTCTAAAGCTGACTTTACTTTCGGTATTGTCCATGCACCCATCCACTTAAAGTTTCCAAATTCATCCCTGAGAATCCAACCAATACCACATCTCTCTTCCACCAACAACCAAGACGCATTTGTATTACATTTAAGCCACTCAACCGGTGGTGGTTTCCAACTCTTTCTCTCTTCATTATCCGTGTTCCTCTGCAAGGAAACATTAGCTATCCTATTTCTTTCATCCCATTCCATTGCATCCTCCTTTGCTTTACTAATGGTTATTTGCGCATCAAAATCTAGACCCTTAAAGACCACAGAATTACTGTTTTTCCATATTCTCCATAAAATCCACGGAATCCAAGCACAAGGATCATCAATAGCCTTTGCTTTCTCATGACATGCAATCACATAATGAAAGTTAGTAAAGAAGGAGGATGACATCTCACCACCACACGGGGTCGAGACACCAGATATGGCCCATATTAGCCTCGCATAGGGGCATTGGAAGAGAATGTGGTTCACTGTTTAAGGCTGGTCCGGAAAACTCGGGCAGCTCGAGTCTCTAGCCAAATGACGTCCAAAAAGAGCACTAGCCGTTGGCAGGCAATTGCTGAGACACCTCCATAAGAATTTTTTGACTTTTGGGTACGTGTTCAGATTCCATGTCATCTGAAATAGGGCATCAATGTTCGGTTGATTCATTTCCACCTCTAAATTCTCATTTGCTAAAACCTGTGTCATTACCCAGTATCCGGATCTCACAAAGTATTGACCCTTTCTTGCATAATCCCAGCATAAAGAATCACAGGTATTAACTCCACAAGGCCTATTCATCCCAAATAATTCAACCACATTGGCAGGACATATCTCTCTAACTAATTCCATATTCCATTCCCTGCATCCTTCCCTAATGAAGTCATTTACTTTATTACACAAGGGTAGCCATAATTGAGTTTGGGGGCTTACATGTTACATTGCGATTATTGGCTTTGCTGGTTTTTCTCCTAACCAGGGCTCTCAGTCCACGGATTAGTATCTCCTCCGTTTCCTATGTGATACGATCCTAGGTGATCAACTCTGAAGAATAAAGGCTAGAGAGGATTCGATGGACTTATGATGGTGGTGTGATGAACGCGACGATGAGTGGCGATGGTGGAGAACGGATCTAGTGGATGACGATGATGGTCTGGTTGCTCGAGTCGATGGTATGGTGGAAGAGGTAGAACCGATGGAATGGTGATGGTAGTATGATGGTTGAATCGATGGAATGGAGAGATAGTAGAATCTCTTGTAAACAGATTAGTTTTTAAGAGATTCGAATTTCAGAGTTTTTAGTTCTCAGAAATCAAAGAGAGAAGAACACGTTAAAAGTTTGATCAAAATTCTTCACTGAATATGACTTAGGCGATTTTCTCTTTTTATAGACTAAGAGAGAAAATCGCAGCCCTAATAACAAAACTACATGGAGTTTGAAATAAAAACAACAAGAAGTTTAATTTAAAAATAAAACAGTGAGGCGTCCCTTCTAAACCTAAGTGGTGCGCCTAAAACACTAGTGCACAAGTCATTGTGACTTTGCACATTATTACCCATTAGTAACAACTTCTAAGTAACTCGACGTAGCAATGATTTCTGCCTCGTTAAAAACCTTGGAGAAGAACCTCCTTGCCTTCCAAAATCTTCACCAAGGAAAAGAGTACAGAATCATCACCTAAGTTACCTAGTCATTGTTACTGGGTTCTTCATTCTTCAAGATAGAGATGTTGAAAATGTGAGCTCCAGCCTCCAGTTGATCGATGTCCTCTGCGGCCATGAGTGCGTGAGCCTCCTTAGCCATCTCTCTAGCTCTGGAACGAGTGATCCTGCCAGCTACCTCTGGTTCCTCCTCCTCTGAGCTGGTCACGATCATATCACTATGACTCTTCTAGCACCAGCTTTGATGAGTTTCTGTGAGGCATGTATACTTTTCCTTGCGTACGAAGGCCGAGAGCCAAGGCAGGCATTCAGAGGATCTGATTTAGCAAAATATCTAGCTTTAAATACCCTAGCCAGGAGAGTCCCCTTCTTAGTCGCCATTCTCCACAACAATTTTACCAAAGAGGGCAATATTAAAAGCTTCTAAATCTTTAAAACCCAGAACCACTTCCATTTTTGGTTTGCTCACATGATCCAAGCCTTCCAATGAATGCCTCTCAAATCTTTATTATTTTTCCACCAGAATTCTGCCATAAGAGAGACAATCTGCTTGCAGACAGTTTTTGGAAGTAGGAAACAGCTCATGGTGTACGTTGGAGTCGCAAAAGCCAATGCCTTCAACAAACCTTCTTTACCCCCTGGGATAAGAATTTAGACTGCCAATTGGTGACCTTCTGATTCAAATTTTCTTTTAGATAGGAGAGCACAGAGACCTTCGACCCACCAAAAGACTCAGGCAGGTCCAAATACAATCCATCGCCCCCTTCCTGGTCAATACCAATTCTCCTCTTGATCTCTTCCCTTTTGTGATCCGGGATTAACTTACCAAAATACACACTTGGCTTTTGGTAATTGATCTTTTGATCCGATGCTAAACTGTACTCTCCCATGATTATATTTAGCTCATTCAGCTCCCTCTCATCTCCTTTACAGTAGAATATACTGTCATCTGCGAAGAGTAAGTGGGACACTGCTGGGGCTGTTCTGGCCACTTTTAACCCTGAGATTCTGTTTTCTGCTTCGGCCTTTCTGAGCAATCTAACCAGCATTTCCGTGCACAAGACAAAGAGGTAGGGGGAGAGGGGGTCTCCCTGCCTTAAACCCCTCGTTGGTTTTATGTTGCCATAGGGTGTTCCATTGATTAAGACCTGGTAAGAAACAGTCTGAACACAAGTCATTAAAGTTCGTACCCATCTGACTGAAAACCTAAAAGCCCAGCGAATTCTCAAGGAAGCTCCACTCCATCCTGTCATAAGCTTTTGACATGTCGGTTTTGATGGCTACAAACTCTTCAGCACATTTGTGCTTGGATTTGAGGGCATGTAACAGTTCGTGAGCTACCAGGATGTTGTCCGAGATCAGTCTACCTTCTACAAAAGCTGCCTGAGTATCCGAAATAACCTTTGGTAAACACTTCTTGAGTCTTTTAGCAAGGACTTTTGCAATGATTTTATACAGGACGTTGCACAAACTAATGGGACGAAACTCTGTTAATCTGTTGGCTTTTCCTTTCTTCGGGATCAGACAGATGTTAGTTCTGTTTATCTTTGGATCTTGCTGCCATGTTTCGAAGAAGTCATTAACCATGGCAGCAATACAATCTCCGAGAGTTTCCCAGAATTGTTGATAAAAGTAGCCAGTTAGTCCATCAGACCCTGGGCATTTGCTGGGATTAATATCTAAAACTGCCAACTTAATCTCCTCGGTTGAGATTGGCTCCAGCAATCTTCTGTTCTCCTCTTGAGAAATGCTTTGGCCCTCGTTCCTCTCCTGGAAAATGGATAAGGAGGAAAGACCAATGTCTTCGGAAGCATAGAGAAGCTTGAAATAACTTTCCGCGACTCTTCCCATGTCCTTTTCTGAATACCATTCCCTCTCACCATCATCAAGGAGACTCTTTATTCTGTTTTGGGCTCTTCTGCTTTTAGTCATCGCGTGGTAAAATTTAGTATTCTTGTCTCCCCCACTCAGCCAGCTGACTCTACTTTTCAGCCTCCAGAATGCTTCTTCCTGGCGATACTCTCTATTCAACTCCCATCGCAGGTTAGACATCTCCAACTAGTTGAAAGGATTTTGGTGTGTCAGCTGGTCCATCTGGAAATGAATTTCCTGTATTCTTTTCGCTGCATAAGTCTGCGTGGATCTTTTCCAGATTGCTATAGACTTCCTGCACTCAGCTAATTTCTCTGAAATGGATTTAGAATTGATCCGAGAATTGGCCTCCCAGCATGATTTGACTACCTCAATGAATCCTTGTCTCTCAACCCATCGATAATCATATCTGAAGCTTGCTTTCCTCCTCCCATGATTCCCAACAAGACTGGTGATAAGCGGGCTATGATCAGAGCAGATCTTCTGCAAATAACAGGCTTGAGCATTCTCGAACATCTCCGACCACAATTGATTCGCTACAGATCTGTCAGTCTGCATTGAACTAATACGTCATTTAGAGCCCCTTCATTTAGAAGGGACATAAGTAGCATTCATGAAAGAACTAACTAAAAATAATAAAAAATGAAAATTTATCTGAGATTAGAAAAGGGTGTCGAGCACGTCTCGGCGACTCTCGATAGAGCAACGCATTTGATGAAGTGCAGGGGACGGTTAAGACTCACAGAGCGATGATCGAAGCATCCATCTGGAGAACAAAGATGTTTTAAGGGGTTCACTTATTAGATTTTGTGTAAAAGGAATCGAGTTTGGAACTCGAAGCGTTGGAGCTAAATCCAACTTTGCCTCCTTTAAGATCATTGATGTTGATGAATCTAGGTTTATGGAGGCGTTTCTGGTGCTTTGGTAGAGTGTGGTGGAGAGAGTTTGAAGAGGCTTAAAGCTATTTGACTCAGGTTTCCAATTACAGCTCAGGTTTGATATTCACTACAATCTGACTATATGTGTTCTCTCGATCTATTAAATTGTTAAATCTCAATTGTGTCAAGCGTTCAACATGCATTAGAGCTTTTTTTTCTGACAAGTACTACTAACATTCTTAATAATTTAAGAGTGCTTGGGCTGATGTGAAATCTCTGATTGAGAAGGAAGAGCAGGAGGTATAAGGAGCCATCTTGAGGTACTTAATCATCTTCAATCATCTATTTCGCAATCTTATCAATCTCTATCATGTCCTCCAACTAGATTCTGGATTTTGAGAGTTAGCTATCTCTGCCTTTGATTGGGTTTCAGAAATCATGTTCCTGAATTTTATTTGATTATTGGTTTTCGTGTCCAGAATTCCTAATTTTCGTTTTGATCTTGTTTAGCATTTGAAGCATTCAACTCTTGTTTTGTATTAATTTGAGCCTATTTTGCAACACCGAGCATGTCTATGTTATGTTGTAGAAGAATCTTAATTTTGCTGCGTTATATGAATTTGGCAACAGAGAGTTTTGATGTGGTCAAATATTATTTAGGAGGATAGGATAGGATCACCAATTTAAGCATTTATTAGGACCAAGTCTACTGCTTAATTATCTATTGTGATTTTACTTTTGTTTGTTCTTAACTACGACAATTCTTTTGTATGTGGGAAATGAAAGGACTAGATTAGGCTTAAAGCAGTTAAAGACGTAACTAACAGCTCTGCCGCATTGGATAACAAAAACTCTTTTATATGAAAAGCTTGCAAGGGGAGAGCTTTCAGATGAACAAGCAGAAGATAAGTACTATATGGATTTCTCTAATATAAGTTAACACGTGATTATGGTCAGTTAAATTACATTGTTGTCTCTTTTTCTCCATTAGTCATATGTTTGATACATAGCACAAAGAGGGAGAAAATGAAGCAAGCTCATCGTTATAGATTTTACTCTGCTCTTATTAAGTGAATTAACATATCTCTCTTGCTAATCTTCTCTTTTGAAATGAAAAATCTTTGCTGAGAGGTTCATGAAGAAGTGAATCAAGCGACAGAAAATGCAACAGAGTTGAAATTTGATGTTTACATAGCTCATGTTTTGCTTACTGTCTCTCCTTGTATGATCTATCTATGAAAAATTAGGATCATTAACCACTTATAAAATTGAGGAAAGTTGTTTATACTTTTAGGAAGGATTTTCTGAATAGCTTTTTCAACATTCTTGAAATTTGTTTCCTACGTAATCAAATGAAGCTTATCTTACCTTGATAGAACACTTCACACTAATAAGAATGTTATATGGTTTCATATTACAACGAATGGTGTTGTGAATGTAAGTAATGGTTGGTAAATTTGAAGAAAAAAATGTTCCAAACGATTTAGGAAGCTTTTTTAAAATTTCAAGAATAAATTCTAAATGTTTAGGAAGGCATTCATACTTTAGGAACATTTATGAAAGTCTTCTTCAAACGTATAAACAAAAACTATTGTGTCTGTTTATACAACTCAAATTTAGGAACACATCTTACATTTAGGAAGACCTTCATGAACATATAAATGTGAATTTTCCTTCCTACATGTTTAGGAAGACCTTTCTAAAACATATATATATATATGTGAATTTTGCTGTCTATTTTTCATACAACTCAAATTTAATTAAAAAGATGTCCTACACATTTAGAAAGATCTTCCTAATACATATAAATTTGAATTTCGCTTTCTATATTTCATACAATTCAATTTTGGAAGACGTCCTACACGTTTAGGAAGACCTTCCGAATATATATAATTGAGAGTTTTGTTGTTCATTTTTTATACAGCTCAAATTTAGTAAGTCGTCTTATACACTTCGGAAAGCCTTTCAAGAATATATGAATGAGAATTTGTATCCTTTTTTTTATACAAGTCAAATTTATGAAATCATCCTACACATTAAGGAAATCATTCCTAAAACATATAAATGAGAACTTTTGTGTCTATTTATACATTTAAGAAGCCGTCCTAGTCCTAGACAACATTGGAGGACCTTCCTAAATACAAGTAAGACGCATTCCTACATTAGGAAGCGTTTCTGAATATTTTGGAGGACCTATCTAAATACAAGGGCTTCCTAAATACAAGTATGACGCTTATCTAAATTAAGAAGCGTTTTTGAATATTTTGGAAGGTCCTCCTAAAATGTATGTGAATTATTTGATCATCTAAAAACTTAAGTTTCAAGTAAAATTATTTTACTTATCAAATTGACAGCAACACATGTCCCAAGAGTCATTTGATAAAACAGAAAATAGTATAAACATTTTATACCAGCACAAACACAAGTTATAGCATATGAGTTATCATCCCATGAGTTCACTTTACATCATATTGACTACCAATATAGGAAAGATTTCCTAATACATAAGAAAGTCTACCTAAAACGTTTGGATATATCCCTGCCATATAACTTCAAGACTCTTCTCCTTCTTACGCTAGCTTCTCCCCATCTTGGTAACCTCTCCGACCAAAAAAGCTTAGTCAAACGAAACTTGCATCAATCAGTAAACCAATATCTTCACATCTCTAGATCCAGAAATTAACATAAAACTAAATTGATGGCCCAAAAAGGGAGCTTACTTCTACAAAGTAAGCTTACACTGCAAATTAACCGTCATTCAACTCGAAAGATTGTGAAATTGTGATTTTTTCCCTCCTAAATCATCATTAACAAGACCAGTTAACAACATCCATGAATCAATTATGAAAAAAAAGGCAAATTTACATGTTCATTATAAACGAATTTGTGATTCCCATCAGCCAGCAATGCAAGAACAATTGAATCATGAAAGTAACATATAAGAAATTCATAAAACGAATCTACCTCCTGGAATTTTGAAGCTTTTTCTTCTGCTTCCACGACCAAAATCTTCAAGAATTGGACTGTTTCTTCCTCTTTCGCTGGATTTGAAGCTAAAGAAATTTCTGCTTCTGCAACTTGAACTGGAACTATAGCTGCAACTTCTTTGTCTTGCCGGAAATATCGCATAACTCGAACCGTTTCTTATCTTCCAAATCCAGTTTGAACCGTCTTCTTCTCTTTTCATCTTCCTCCCCATATCCTCCTTTTGCGTTGTCTTTGTGTAACAAATGCCTCTCTCAAACTCGATTAGCTACCGCCTCCACCTTAACCAGATCAGATCTACACCACATCAACAGTAAAGGGTTGGCGGAGAGCAGATCTTGATCCGTCCAAATTCTTGTCTCTCTTTCTTCTCCATCATCTTCATCTATCTCACTCAAATCGAGCCTCTCAAACACATCTCTCCAGAGACTTCTCCTCCAATCCTCCTCCGCGCCGTCTGCTCCACCCACCACGAGCTTAATTGTATGTTAATTACTGGTCGAATAGAAATTTAGGAAGTTTCCTTTTCAAAAGTCTTACATGATTGAGCGGAGACCGAGAGTTTTGAGGAAGGAGAAGTTGGCCGAGTCCAGGAATCCATACCAGAAAACAACATTATCGACCATCACGAAAGTCATCGGCGGTATCAGGTTAAGCTCGTCGCCGGAAACCTCGTCTACCAATGGTGTAGCAGAATCACCAGGCGAATGTGGCGGAGATACGTTGCTCCAGTCAACCGTAGCTACTTCGATCGTCCTGAAGATCTTGCCTCCATCTTCCTCCTCTAAAGTCATAAACTTGTTCATCGTCGTCTTCTCAATCAGCTTCATTCTCAAAAACGAGTCTGACTCGGGATAAACATTGTCATTTTCCTTTTTCAATGAATGAATGCTAGTTTTGTCAACTTGAAAAATAATGACTTTTTTTTTTAGAACATTTAGTTTTTGGGGTTATTTTTGAGAATTGTCCTAATCTATATGATCTGTAGAAAAAAAAATCCAATTTGATTCTTAAATAACTGAATTCAGTAAACTGATTTTAAATAGAGTAATAGTTGGTCATATATTAGATTTTTACTGGCTTTCAAATGATATAAAGCAATGGAGAGTTCAATTCATCTTTTATTTATTTTTTAATAATAAAATTCAGATCTTTTTGGTTTTCTTTTATGTTGTTTTTTTTTTGACTCATATGTTTATTCTTTTATGATTCTTAAAATAATAAAATTCAAATGAATTGATTTCATGTGTATTTAATAGTTGGACACATGTAAATTTTCTTACATGAGCATCTTCAACACAGGATTTTCAAATACCAGTCCATCATCTTGTCCAAATACGGAATCATTTCAAATGATATTAAGAAATGGAGAGTTTACTATATTTTATATATATAAAAAAAATTCAAAAAAATTCGTTTTATAATTATTTTTTTTTATTTTTTTTTCATTCAAATTTATTGATTCTATAGATCTTGTTAACTGGACACATGGCAATTTTCACTTGATAATAAATTATATGATTAAACTATAAAATTTAGAGAATCTACAATATCGTAATTGCTCTCCCAAACGGCGATTCAAAGGGCAATTTTCAAAGCAGATCTATCAAACCACCGTCTTTATCAGACTTTTTCTGGCCGACATTGGCTCCGGCATAGGTCGTACTCTTCTTTCCTTTTGTTTATAGTTTGTTAGTTTTAATCCAAATAAAAACATTGACTGATAATCATCATATCGATTTCTTTGATGAGTAATCTTCAATGTCTTTTCTTTCAGCTCTCTCTTTGAGAAAGTTTTATTCCGGGCAAAATCCGATGATTGTTCAGAGAAACTGTGCCATCCTCTTTCTGTTGGAGAATTCTTCACACGGCTTTTGTCAGTTCATATTTGAAATGTTTCGTTCTCTCCATTATCAAAGTCCTGATCAATTTTGAATCTGGTCTTTCCAAATTACTAATATCATAGTTAATGGAGATATAGATATATTCATTGATCTCAACAATAGTTCGGTGAATTGCCATAGACTACAAAATAATTTTTTAAGCCAACAACGGGTTAACAATCTCAGATTCATCAATTGGAATGGAATCTCTACGAAATCTGATTTTCATGAGAAATGAAGGTTCTATAAAAACACAAGTCGATCTAGATACATTTTTTTTTGGTATCAAATTCTGGAAGACTCAGAATCCTTTGTGAATATTGGTTTATGATTAATACTATGGTAGAGTTTAACAACGAGAATACAGAGGTCAAGGCACAAAAATGCATCGCTGGGGATAAAGTCAAAGCTAAACTCTGATAGAATAAAGTCAAAGCTAAACCCTGATAGAAGAACTTGGATCAAAATTCTAGGTATCTAACTAAAAAAACAAAACTTCATTCAACGGAAGCAATATGTTTTATCATGCTATGTGTAATTAGGAGTTTTAGCCAGATGTTGTTAGCCAAACATACAACTCAAATCAGAAAAAAAAATTAGTACAGAAAAAAAATAGATTTAGTTATCCGTTAGCGAATAAAACTTTACTTCGGGAAACATCGTCAAATTCACTTTTCATGTTATGTCATTTTTAACATATGATTCATATATCTGTATATGTAATAATTTATTTTTCGGAAGTTTTGTATATTGATTTTGTTACTCTAATTTGATGTTAAGAAAATTAATTGATTGTCGAAAAAATAATATAAAATATAAATTAATTATATAATTATAGAGAGTTTATCTTTTGGAGTGATTTTGATTGACGAAAACGAGTCGAATAATAGGGCTTCAACAAATGATGTACCAGATAATATTATACGATCCACTATTTGACAATTCTTTTTCATCCTTAAGAGCTACTGTCATTTTTCTACAATCACCATCTAATAAAATCTTTCTACCGACTTACTCTTTTCAATAAACACTAGGTGTTTAGCCCGCGACTTGCGCGGGCCAAAAAGTTTTAAAAACAAAAAAAAAAATTATGCTATAAATTGAAAATAATTAAAACAACTATTTAAGACATAAAAAATCAAAATAAAGTTAACTAAAATAGTAAACAAAATTCAAAATTAATTACTTTAAAAATACTTTATAACTGAATAATCCACAAACTAATCTAATTAAAATAAATTCTAGTTTTTCGTTTCCTAGTTTTTCCTCTTCATTATTTTTTTTTTCTTCTTCATCGTTTTTTTCCTTATTCTTTTCTTGTCCATATTTTTTCTTGTTTTTTTCATGTCTTATTCTTCATTTTTTTCCTTCTTCTCATATTTCTTATTCAAATTTATCATTACATCTTTTTTTTATTATTTAACACATTCGTCTTCTTCGTCTTCTTCTTCTTTTTTGTTTTTACGGTTTATTCTTCTTCTCCTTATGATTTTTTTTCATATTATGTACTCTTCATATTTTTTATGACTCTATATCTTTTGAGACTGAGAAAAAAGATAAATACACATTTCAAACTTAAAACTCTCCTTAAAAGTGTGTTATATTTATTGTTAGATAAGAAAGCTGCATTCAATTTTGTAGCTTGCTCCTTTCGAACAATCAAAACTGTTTTTGGGTAATCAACTTTAAAAAAGAGCTTAAACATATATATCAAAAAAGAAATTCTCAAAATTTCTTAATTATGCTAATAACAAAAATATCAAAAATTATAACAAATATCAAAATAAGACTTTAAGTAAAATGGAGTCTCCACAAAAGGGTTGTGACATTTTCACGGTCCCAAGATTTGCGGAATTTTGTATATAATTTATCATCAATTTCTTTCACATTGTTGTGCTAGAATATTTATTTGTTACCCTATTAAATAATTTTAAAAAATAAAGAAAATACAAAATTAGATGGAATTGAATACTTCCAACATACAAACTTAAGAAAACCTAGAATTTTAGCTACTTAAAAATTTTACATCTTTTGTGAAACTTAAGCAAGAGAAGCTTTACTGTGATCCAAAAACAACATTTTATAATTAAGAGTTCAAACTCAACCGGAAACACATGAGATGAAAGCACTCCACACGAAAAAGATTTCAGTCGGAGAAATGTGCAAAAGATCAAAGTACAAATAGTTACATTTTTCTCCTGTCTCTGCCCATAAGTAAAATATAGGAATCAGAAACCAATATCAGAAAATATCCCAACACTGGAAATAAGTGACAACACACACAAAGCCCATTCAAATAAAGTGATGTTCGAATAAAAAATAGTAATTTTGTTCATGTGTCATCATTATTATCAATAGAACTAACTTTGAGAGTAAGAATATGCCAAGTGGACTAACATTTTTGCTGGAACTAAACTCCTTGTTAGCTTGTTTTCTTTTGTTCTCGACAGCGACAGGTGGGGTCTTGGATAAAACACAGACCACCATGTTCTGCACCTCGTTCACCGAAGCTTCTTTTGAATTGTTATAAATTTAGGATTCATCAGATCAAGTAATAATCCATAATCAGATGATTAAACCTGTGTTTTTGTATGTGTTCTTTTAAAGTTTCATGTACCTTCCAAAAGTTCAATCAGCTTGGCAATCTTCACAAGAACCAGGTGAACTCACGTTCATTGCCATGAGGGATTTCGACACCGTATGTCCTATAGACCATTCTGAATCGTCACCAAGAGCCTACACCACAAAACATAATACATGATCTTTTTGTAATAATTTTTTAAAACATATAAAACGCTAATATCTGACTCCGAGAACTGGTTCTGTTCATGACCATAATCTAGATCTTCATCACCAGCAAATGAAATCTGTTGCATCGCAAGATGAAACAATAAAACGCGAGCACCTAAGAAAGAAAAAACAAAAACAATCAAAACTTAAAACAGATGATTAAACCTGTGTTTTTGTATGTGTTCTTTTAAAGTTTCATGTACCTTCCAAAAGTACAATCAGCTTGGCAACCTTCACAAGAACCAGGTGAACTCACGTTCATTGCCATGAGGGATTTCGACACCGTATGTCCTAGACCATTCTGAATCATCACCAAGAGCCTACACCACAAAACAAAATACATGATCTTTTTGTAATAATTTTTTAAAATATATAAAACGCTCTTATCTGACTCCGAGAACTGGTTCGGTTCATGACCATAATCTAGATCTTCATCACCAGCAAATGAAATCTGTTGCATCGCAAGATGAAACAATAAAACCAAGCACCTAAGAAAGAAAAAACAAAAACAATTAAAACTTAAAACAGATAAGAATCAATAAATTAAAAAGGCTCGACTCAGCCCCAACTAATAAAAGAGAAAGAAAAGTGCACCAAAACTGGCTAATATATAAAACATAAATATGATAGATAATAAAAAAAATCAAAAATCTAAACCTAAAGCACAAAAAAGAAAATAAAATGTTACCCTTCGGTATAGCAGTAAACTAAACAATCAACGATCAAGAAAGTCCGGCTAAAACACCACATCCTAAACAGAAAAAAAACATCAAACGTTATTATTAATAAGAAGAATTTATAAAATATAAATAGTTACCAACTTCAAATATACATCAGAACAAAATATATTCTTGAAGAGCTATAAAAGGGAAGACATAAGGTATCACCTAACATATATAAAAAATGTAGATCTACATGAATATAAAACAAAAATAACAACCGAATAGAAAATTAAACAGCACAAAAACTATTTTTTTAAGAAGTCACAAGATCACTAATGTAAAACACACGAAATATATAGCTTACATGATCGCCAAATATTATAACTGTATAAGTGAAGAAAAAAAATTGGTTGAAAAATCTTTAAAATTTATGCAAATCGGATAATTCATATATATTGTTTTATTAAAAAACAATATCTAAGTATTTATCAAGACTTACTTAAAGATTAAGGGAGTAACA